ATTTATTTATTTATTTAAAACATTTCTATGCCGCCCCCATCGCAACAAAGCCTCGGGGTGGCTCACAAAGAATTGAAATCTTAAAAGTGTTGTAAGGCCTTCAACTTCAAATGGTCCATTATTTGGACAGTTGGTCCACTAACTGTTGCTAGAAAGTTGTATGGATTCCATAAAAATCCATTTACGTATATTAAGAAAACAAGAAAAAAATCTTTAAAAAATGTTTGCAAATGCCTGTAGACTTTGCGCTGCCCGTGGGCTCCATGGGTACCACATGAGGCTGGGGGGCGGCAGTTGCCACTTTGGAGACTCCCTTATTGTATATTATTAAGTTTACATAGCTTGAACACAGTTTCCTGCATGCTCACTCACACATCTGATCTGCTTTAAGAGAAACCAGGTGTTGGGTCACAAAAGTACAAAAAGATCCATAGATTTATGCAGCCCAACTGGGGTTGTGGTGCCCAGTCTTACAATCCTCCTGACATTTTGTTGTAGGGAAAAATGGTGTTTCTTTTAAGCATTTCTCTAAGAAGAGAATGACTAATTCAATAATCGTGAAGGCTCCGCACCTAACAGTTCCAAAGAAATGTATTTTTCTTCTTTTTGCTGTGATCTCAGTATGCATTTCCCCAATCTATATTAACCTTTTGACTGACTGATTGTAGTTCTATGTTATGTCTATTTTTGTGCTTCTGAGTGGTTTGTATTAACCACTCAGAAAATGTTAGTTAGTAGGTGGCATACAAATAGGAAATAAAAAACAAAATCCAATAAATAAGTAAACATGAAAGTAGTTGGAAGGACCCCTTTGTTACAGCATGTTCTCTCTTATCTCCTTCCCTGGTTTCTTTGTCCTTCTTAAGATCACCCACTGAATTCTGATCAGGGAGATAACATGTCAAAGTAGGACTACATGTACCCAGATCCTGTTTCCTTTGAAAGATCAGTTAATTAGGATTTAGGGTTAGGGCTTTTTGGATGCATCCTGAAGACTGTGGAAGTCTCTTCTTTGTGATTAATGTCCACTATTTGCAATATTAGCTGCAATAATGCTTTCTTTTACTTTTAGTACCACCCACCCAAAATTCCCCATCTTAGTTCTATAAATGTGCATCTAAACATGTACAGATTGTGTCCTTCTCAAATGTCCTTTCCATGCCCACTGTTTTCTTTGAATATCTGACCTTGTTAAACATTTATTTTTCTGATTACCACCATCTGCCCTATCTCCAATTTTGAGGAGCCAGAACCCTGGGCAGCCTTCAGGCTTACCGAATCTACCTTGCTTTTTACTCAAACCCTGACAGCAATCAACTAAAGTCCAGTGCAAAAGAGATACACATGGAATTAAAGAACAGGTTTCCTGTGAGCATAAGTGTTGTTTTCGGTATCAGAACTGGCCTATGTTTATAGTATTTCATGCAAGAGTCTGCTACTCATTACCCCAAGCTTTCTCTCATTTCAGGAGCCTTATTTAGGCAGAAAACATCTTTCTATTGTAGCTATTGCTAAACAACTGAGAGATGGAAACTATTGGTGATCAACTCACTGACCAGCCATTAGATCCTACCAGCTAACCCTTGACCTAAACTATCCTGACTTACTCCATGAACTTCTTATTTGGCCGCATTGCTGTGAACTGTCCGGACAGCTTTGCCTACTGAATCATGAATAAATAAATGAGATTTCAGATCTAGAACTGCTTAGGTTTAGAATTGATGGCAAGAAGATCTTTTAATTTTTAAAAATTCCAGCTCCCATGCCAGTCTTTTAAACCAGATCTTCACTGACATATTTACTACACAAAGCATTTAAAGTTTATTTTTCCCCAGGATATTAAGATTGTTTTGTGAGAATGGAGGCTAGTCCCTTCTGGCAACTGCTGTTCCCTGAGAATTAGGTCCAGTAATTCAAACGTTGTGGCTAAACTTGATCTGAGCTAAGATACAGGGAACACTTGCTTGGAAGTTCAATTGCAATCAACACAACATACACAATGTACAAACATGCTAAGGGTCAGAGGGCAACTCTGAATATTGACTAAATACATGAGTTATGGTTAGGGATACAAACTGAAGATGCTGCTTATCTTTCAATCCATGTCTAGGATGCTAAGCCACAACACAAACAAAGTTGAGCAACAGAAAGTAAAACAGGGTAGACAACATGTGGTTCTCCAGATGTTGTTGGCCTATAACTCCCATCAGCCCTAACCAACTAAGCTAATAGTGAGGAATGATAGAATCTGTGGGTCAAAATATCTGGATGGCCACAACTTGCTCATTTCCCAAAGGCTGCATTTTAAAGCTCCATAAAATTGCCGTCTCTAAGCTGTTTGGTCCCCAGCCTTGGGAGCAAAAGAGCTCCACCTTTCTCAGCAAAATCCGGACCGTCCAAGCACCCCACGCTCGCTCAGCCTTCTGCAACGAGGAGGCGGCGGCGAGCCTGGAAGAAAGCTCCCTTTACATATTTTCTATAACTCCTCCTACCAGACATTTGACTAAGCTGGGGGTGGGCCTGGAGTGGCTCTTTCCAGTAACATGGAAAGAGGAAAACCTTCTGATGCATACAGAAAAGCAGCTTTCCTAACTACCAGCAAATTTGAGTCAAGAAGCTTTATCAAGCCTGGCCAAACCCTTTCAAGGACAGTGCCTTTGAGAGCTGTGCCCAGTGCCAGCGGAGTTCAGCAGTCACATAGTTCCTTGGTAAATAACCAAACTGGTCCTTTCACTCAGTCTTTTTTTGCATAGATCTGACTAAGTTGTGACCAGTGTCCAAGCCTTAGCCACAAAATAGGCACAACACTGAGAGCCAGTTGCTTGCATGTTTGAAAAAATAAAATTTGATTTTACAGTGTGAAAACATTGTGAGCCAGAAGAAAATTCTAAGAAACCAGAGAAATGGTTTCCCTACCCCTGAAAATTCTAATAAATATCAAAGCAGTTACAAAGTGACTCACTCATCACTACTAGCAACCGTTCAACACATTTCTTGCTCATATTGTCATATAACTTATAAGGGGGCACAATGAATGTACTGAGCCTGCCTACAGGGCTTTGCATGGAGAAAAGTGCAAAGATCAACTAAAATAAACATGTTTCAGAGCCATGCATGTCTAAACTCTGGTATTGCCCATTTTTAAGAGAGGCACCTTTGTGATCAGAATTTGCTAAAAGAGCTTTTTGTCCATGTCTGAATTTTAATCAGTGTCAAGGTGGGGGATGCCGTTTGCCTCATCTGATAGAAACAATATATTGCTCACCAAGGATCCACCTTGGTACTGAGTTTATCTAGATCAAAATGTGCAGGATCTGCGGCTCATGCAGCACTGGGAACTGCCAGGCAGCCCTGCATCATGGACTCTGTTGTCCAGAAGGGTTAATTGGGCTAATTCACAGGTGCATCTCCCATCACCTGGGGCCTTTTCACTCAGTGACTCCAAGCTGAACAGATGGGCAGCCTCTGCGAGGAGGAATTTGTTGTATCAGTGATACAAAAGCTGGCTCTGCTGTGTGCAATACGTGACCGCTCTGTACCCGCAAGTCATCACTTGATGTGGCAGTCTCTGAGCTCAGCAGTCATTTGTGAGCTTCCCCTAAAACTGGCAAAGGCAAACGGAAGCTACAAAAGCTTGGCTGTCAAGTGAAGCCTTGCTCCTCCTGCATTCAGGTTGCACCAGACAAGGGCAACTCATGCACCAGCTTTCAAAACTAGCCACCCCTCCATGACTAAGCTTTCAAGATTTCTGACTGGTGTGTGAATCTAGAATGGGTTGAAGGAAATCAAAGAAAACTTGCGCTCCATCCAATCCTGAAAGAAGCAAACAGCCATCATGACTGTACCTATTGTGTTGCCAATTTCCCACCCTGAAGAACTCCTTTCCCTAAAGGCAGGAGGGAGTCTGCCTTCAAGCCAGTCCTTTAATGAGGCCAGAATGCAGTCAGACATTCCGGCTGCGCTGTCGCACTCATGCTAGCATCCCTGGCAGACACCTGAGAGATACAGCTTCGCTCATTTTTATGGGCTGCTGCCCAGCTCTTTACAAGATGTGGTGCTCAGCCATCAAATAGCCAAGCACTTGCAATCCGGAAGCCTGAGCAATGCTCATGCATTCTGTTTGAAAGAATCACTTTTTTTAATATGGCACAGATCTGCTTGGGTTTTTTAAGAACACCGCCACACTTCCAAGACACCTCTGCAGCTCATCCACACTCTAGAGACCAGACAGCACCGATAGGTGGGAGCAGGAGAAGGAATCTCTGGATCTGAGAACCGTCATCTAGCAGGCCAAGTTTGCAGAGACCTTGAGGATTTGCCCTCCAACCAAACAGATTGCGGAGGGCGGGGGGGCGAGACAGAGCAAGGATTATTCTCCCCTTCTCGTTTGTGCTAGCTCAGCCTCGCAATTCAGGCAGCAGCACGAATGCAGCCCAGCACGGGCAGGTCCCCCTCGCTCTTTCAGGATCCCACAGCAGATGCCTCCGAACTCCGACAGGGCCACCCTTGCTCGCGCGGAGTTCTAAGCGGAGGTGTCCGACCGACAGACCCCGCGCAGACACGCACAGCTCCTCCGACCCATTCCTCCTCTCGGAACAGGAGACCACACACCGACTTCCGGATGCAACAGGGGACCGTCCAAGCACCCCACGCTCGCTCAGCCTTCTGCAACGAGGAGGCGGCGGCGAGCCTGGAAGAAAGAGCTTCTCCGTCCAACAACCGGCGCGGAGAAAGCCATCCTTCCAGCAGCTCCTGAGACCACTTTCCTGACCTCGCCACTTTCTTTTCTAAGCAGGACTTCGGGAAGTCCTCCTAAGCCGTAGTAGCGGCGGGTTCTTGGGAGAGGTGGGGGGGGGGGGCAGGCATGAAAACTGTTCTTAAACTGCACAGGTCACTGCTCCCCACTTTCAGCCAGTCCTTTCCACACCCCGACACACGCACAGCGACCCACACATTTTGACACCCCCAGTCGCACCCGCGCTCACGTCGAGCCAATTTACCGCTGGTATCCTTGAAGGCAGGGGTTGGCGTGTGTCTCAGGCTGGGACTCCAGCCCCTCCCGCCTTCCTCCTCGTCCTCCTGTTCCTGCTCCGGCTGCGACGGCTCCAGGGGACCCGGGCAAGCCGCCTCCGAGCCGCCCTGCGCCGGCGGCGCCGCCTTGGCAGCGCGGCGTCCCCCAGTCCTGCCCCGGTGGTTGCGTCCGCCCTCGGCTGGAGCTCTGCGCGCTGCCGCCGCATCTTCCTCGTCGCCCTCGTCGTCGTCGTCGTCGGAGGCCGAGGGGGACTCGGCGGTGGTGCTGTAAAAGGGGTTGCCGCCGCTGCTGTCCTGGCCCGACTCGCCGAAGACGTCGTCGGAGATCTGCAGACTCTCGTAGCGGCAGCGGGCCGCCTCCAGTAGGGACAGCGCCTTGAGCCGCTGGCCGCCGCCGCCGCCCTCCGCCATCATCTCGCCCGGCGACGCCGGCGTCAGCAGCAGTCCGCGTTCGGCCGGGTCCTCCGGGCGCAGGCAGCAGCCGAGCAGCAGCAGCGGCTCGGCCACCGAGGGCGGCAAGCAGGCTGGGGAAGCGGCGCCACCGCTTTCTCTTTCTCTTTCTTCTTCTTCTCCTCCTCCTGCTCCGCCGCCGCCTCGGAGCCCAGCCTCCCGCTCTCCCCGGCACAACCCGCCCCTGTGTGTGTGCAGAGCCATGGGTGGAAGCAGCCAGCTCAACATCGCTCCAGATGCCTCATCGAGCCAATTATAGCTGCAGTCCCGAAAGCGGGAGGTGGGGTTTTATGGGCGCTCCCGACGCCGTGGACCCGCCCACGTCCCCGCCCCCAAGTGGGAGGGTCTCCGCCCTTTAAAGCGCAGGGTCGCCTAGGAGGAAAGCAAGATGCGGTCCCTGCTGTCGCGAGCCGCGCGGCCTCCCCGCTCCCCCTCGGAAGGGAGGCGGCAGCCGGCGGATACTTCTCAGCACGTGATCTGAAAACACGCCCCGGGGTTTTCCACCGCTCTCCGGAGGCTCTCGTAGGCAAAGGAGCATGATCTTTGCTTTCCCCTCCGAAGTTGTTGGGCCACGACGCCCAGCATCTCCCCCACTTTCAGTCCCACGGATCTGGAAGGCACCCGCCCGGGGAGGCTGCGTTGTTCGGCTTGCCTCCCCTGCTTCAGGTCCACTTGGAGCTGTCCGCCGGCTCTGGTGCTGAAGTGCGCCAACGCACAAGGAGCCTGGAAGAGCGAGCGAGGCATGAATCTTTTACCACAAGAGGCTGAGTCATGACTGACCATTTGGCACATGGTCCTCACAGGAGGAGGACTAGCGGCAGGACCCAGCGGGACCGGAGCCAGGAGGAGCCGGAAAAGAACCAGAAAAGCTGCACGCCTTTCTGCACATACTGTGGCGTATCACAATCGCCCAGCAATAATAACCTCCTGTCACATCCGCTTCATCGAAAATAGCATCTGCAGCCACGCGTGTTGCACTCAGCTGTGATTAAGGTCTTCAAGTCACTTTCATGTCGGAGTAAATTGAATTGGCACTAATGCATCACCAAGCGAGAGAGATAGAGAGGATATTTTCCATCAGCTGAAAAAGACTGTGAAAAGCAACAGTGTTGTTTATTTTCAACTCTAGAAGTTGCCAAGGTTATGAAAAGAACCCCAAATACCAAAATATTCACAAGTCAATATTGTGTCTGAAACAATGGCTGATATTCTATCCACACAATGCCAACCATTTCTAGAGCTAATGAATGCATAAAAGATGCAACCAATATATTTGATACCATTAGCTGTCTGCAACAAATCAAATTGCTCCCATTCCAAGTCACTCTGAATTTTTCTTAATGCACTTCAATTTAACATGCAATGATATAAATTATGCCCAGGGACCTCAAAATGCACATCTGCATTAACACTTAAACTGCTCTATGAGAAAGTGCCAGAAAGGTAACACTAAGAGTGTGCATGCTTTTCATTTTTTTTATTTAATATTTTTATAGGGCCTGGTACAGTGCAAAATCTGTAGTGACCATGGTTCTCCCATTTTCCTTCTTTTTCAACAGGCCATGTGCAAATACATGGGGTTTTGCTGGACTAGTTAAATAACTTTTTGTTTTGGTTCTACAATTAAAACACATACATAGTTCAGATATCATTACTGATATCATTTTTTCCAGTACTAATACTGTTGCTGAAACTCTTTTTATTAAACTGTTAGGAAAATCATTCCAGCCTCAGAGCACTCAAAAGAGTTGCTTTAACCAGTATATTCTTTAGGGAGCTGATTAATTTGATTTTTTTTAAACACAGGTCACTCTCTTTCACTTTTTCCTAGACCTAAATAGGCTCTGATCTACCTATAATCACAGGCAGGTAACTTTATGTAATCACTGATAGACTGAAGTTTTGATATACACCCCCATTCACTTCTTGGCTTGGTTAAATATCTGAATATCTGAAGGAATGCTTCTCCTTGTATCAGCAGGTACATGCTTTAAGATGGATCTTCTCCAAGGACTTGTGGTACATTCGGTAACAAGAAGTAAGAGAGTTTTCTGGGTTGTGACACCCTGGTTGTGGAACACCTTGCCACCTGGGAATTATGTTTTGTTTTGTTTTTTCATTACCAGGTCAAAAGTTAGTTGTTTGCCTAGACATTTAAACTGCTTTATCTTAAGCTGGTTGGTGTGAGCTGTCTTGTGTATTTATTACTGATACTGCAAAAATACAATATTTAAAATAAATAGTAATAAATAATGGCACATGCAAATGAGGAAGTGCATGCAACTGTACATCTACATCAGAAGGATATACCAAAGACTGACTATTCGATATCTCTTGGCTGGATTCAGACAATCATTTGTATATATATTCAGTCAGAACAGAACTAATTTCTTTTAGGATAAGGTTGTAAATATCTTTGACATGTCCCTGCTAGAGGACTTCTTGGAGGATGGAGAACTTGAGCTTCCAGATATAGATGCGATTGAACTATCAGTGTCAGAAGATCAGGAGGACCCTGGATCCTTGAGAAATGGCTACGTGCCTGTTAGGAGGACATAGGCCAACTTACTTGCAGAAGAGTGAGCTCTAACTGCAGGATTAAAGGTTTGGCCAGAGAGCTCTGATACACTGCCCCTGATTCTTGAATGGGACTGAGTAGGCACTGGTGTTAAAACCTTCAATGTTATAGCTGTAGCGTAATGGAACTGCAATAACATATAAAGCTTTTATTCCATTTTGAATTATATTAGCTGACTTTTCCCATTCTACAAACCCTGCAAAAATGGCTGGAAAGCTCAGGCAAGGAGGATGACAGCATAATGGAAAGTCCCTCCAAACGTCCATGAGTATGTGGTCATGAGTGCAAAATAAATGTCTCATGTAGAGAAGATCTTGAATTCCCACTTTACTCTGCTGCTTGCCTCCCTGATGTATTTGCTTTACTTTGGTTTAGCTTACTTTGGTTTTTATTTCGATACTTTACCTGCCTGCATGTTCCCTTACTGGACTGAAACCTTGGTGCATCACCATTTGTCTGTGTTGTGACTTTCCCTTTTGGAGTGCCCCATAACTCAGAGTCTGCCTCAGTCAAAGCAGGACAATATTTAAGTTGTAAAGTCAAAGGCAGAGTAGTTGTAGTTTCAAACACTTCTTTAGGTTTGCTTCTTTAAAAGAGAAAGCTGATATCAATGAGTCTACAAAGTATACAGAACATCATATATAAGTTGTTCCCAACTTGGTATCATCTGGGTATGGTGAACTCCAGCTCACATCATACCCAGCCGGCATGGCCATTGACTGGGTATGATGAGAGTTGTAGTCTAACACATCTGGAGAACATTAGGTGAAGCAAGACCACCACATTCCAGGTGTGCATGGAAGACAGAATGGGGTGTACTGGTAGATTCCTGGGTAATCTGAAGTAGACCAGCAAGGATGTTTTGGTCCAGCTGTTTGAATCCCGTTAAGGCCTCCTTAATTATACTGCTGAAATACAGAAAACTTGGATTTGCTTTGGACTGTGTGGAAGAACTGTGAGGCCCATTCTTTCATTCTAAGTGTTTGTCATTTGCACCTGACTGAATTTGGTAGAACTTGGGGCTCTAGGAAAAAGAAGAAGAAACTGAACCTACAAGCCTGAAGTCCGCTTGGTCTCATCACATACAACATGTTGCTAAGCAAAATGACTAGCCAGTACTTGACAGGGAAGTAAGTAATCTTGTAAAACTAAATCTGGCTCAACCTAATAGATGATTGCAGATCATATCCTGCCTCATGTCAATTACTATGCCTATGTTTGAGCAGTTAGACAAGACCTGGCACAGTAAAAAGAATACTGTATCCATGGCAACCTGAAGTACAGCTGTTAACTTTTGCAACATAAAGCGTCTTCCTCTTGGATCAACTAGGAACGATTCTTCCCCTTAGATCGAATTCCTGCAGGTGGATTTCACGGATCAAAGTCTACCATTCATCTATAATTCTCTATTTTGGTACAAACCATCTAACAATCATGCTAAAATGTCTCTATTCAGTGAAAATAGATGAAGTTGCAAAGAGCAGAAATAGAGTGCAATTTAACTAGACCATATAAGAAAAAATTCCAGTTTAGCCTTCCAGTCATGATCCTCCATTTATTGGTTCCCCACACATGACTCTGCAGAATCCAGGCTAAGTGGACAACATGCATCTTATAGTTGCCCTTAGGATGCTTCCTTGCACTCCAGGTCACTCCTGGCTGACCTCCCCAGTCCCCAAGTTTACCCAGCAGCAGCACTTTCCCCTTTGATACCAGTTTGGGTGGGCAGGCCAGAAGGCAGAGGAGCTTCAGCCTGGAGCAAAGTGAAGCCCAGAGGCATTCCGGAGAAGGGAAGGAGGGGGTGTGGTGACTGGACTCAGGGGCTGTGCTGCTTTCCAGCCACACAAGATCAACATAAAATCAAACATGTTTGCATTTTCCTTTAAAGAAAAACTTTGAACATCAAAACAATTTTTTGTACAAATGAAGGGGGCACTGAGAGGGTGACCACTTCAAGTCCCCACTGGGAGATTCACCCTGATGACTGTACAGGACTGTCACCTGGTTCAGTGACTGCATTTGCATGGCAGAGTGCTCTGTTATACACCTGTGTATCGCAAGCTCTCCTGTTTGCAGGACTTTGCTAGCATAGCTGGCTGGGCATTCTGGGAGTTGTAGGCCTTTTTCTGCCTAAACACGCAAAGGATTGTGGCTTTATTATCATGTATAAGTAACGTGCCTTGTTCTTGATTAATATTAAAGTTTCATTAAAAAATTAATAAGCCACAAACATCCTATGCATATCATTCAGAAAGCTTTGTCTGGGTGGAGTTTGCACAGAACTTCAGGCTTTATCAGCCTAGTCAATGAAGTACAGTGATTCGAATGTCGGACTTGGGCTGGGGAGACCAGGAAATCCATTGTGCGTCCTTGGGCCAGTCAGTGTCTCTCAGCCTAA